TGTGTGTGTGTGTGTGTAGGCTGTAAAGCCCCTTAGGTTGGCAAAGATAAACATCTACACAGAATCTTTTGTGCCTGATGTACATCAACACTACAATGTGCAGATACGGTGTCACCGAGGCCACCTGTCCAACAAAAGGCACCTGGGGAAAACCACGGGAGTCACAATGGGGGAGACTCCCATTACGAGTCCCTTCGCTCTCCAGAATGAAGGCGTTGAGCTACAAATAGGTCGACCTCACTGTTACGCTGGAGGGAAGTTTGACGAAGATAATGGAGCACGGTGTGGGGAATGAACTAACCACTTTGGGGATATGGAGGAAGGCAATAAATCACCGATGATATGGCTCCGGTGTTTACCTAGTCAGACCTTATCCACCCCTAGAGGTATAGGCTCACGCTAATAGTGTTCCAAATGTTAAAACACACAGACCTCGATTAACAGACACTATAAACTGCTTCTCATTTAAACTCTTAATCCTTTCAATTCTGTAATGTCTCCAAAGGCTACAACTGGGAAACTCAAGATTTTTTTTTTACATTTGTGTTTAGGTTGAAAATGAATATTGTTTTTGCAGGTCGAACTGCGCTGACAGATCAAAACACAACCTTGTCAGCATACTAACTATGCTGTTAAACTGATGAAATCCAGTGGTACTTACAGTTGGGTGAGCCTTGGGAGCTGGAAGGCTCTCACAGGGATCTGGCTGATGCGGTTTCGGCTCAGTCTCAGGACCTGTAGAGTTGAACCCAGATGGTCCAGGGCGCCGAGCTCCAACGCGATGATCTTGTTGTTGCTCAGGTAGCTGAACACAGAAACAGCACATTGTGACATAAGAGATTTGTAACAAACCTCAAACATGTGTTCATGAATGGCCCCATTCTCGTCTCTCTTGAGTTACTTAACATACTTCTTGTATGCTGTAATCAAATTCCCCCCATGTTTTCATTAATACACTATGAAACTTTCATATTGGTATTTTGGATTCAGATGTTAGAGCTATTGTGTGCACTGTTTTCCTGTTAAATGTTTCTACTAATCTTGACCCACAGCAACCAGTTAAGTTTCATCCTATTAAATATTGATTATGTGTCACAGTAATACTTAGAGAGTATACTTACAGGTCTCTGATTTGGAGGCCTGCAGGAAAGCAGTGCCCTCGGAGCTCAGTGATGTCATTATTGCTCAGGTCCAGGGTTTCCACAGAAACCAGCTCTCTGGTCCGTCTGCCATCTATACTGCGGATCTTATTATGATGTCTGGAAAATTAAAAAAAACACACATAAAAAGGCATTAGGTGTGGTTGGAAATCCCAAAACTCTATGCTACGAAGCATCTGAATCACTATCTCTGAAAATATGACCCTGCTGAACTTCAGCGTCCTTTTCCCATCACCCAACGAAGACACTCCAAATCCCCTGGCTTCTCTAAACCCACTCTCTGGCACAAAGAGAGCAGAGTACACAGAACAAAGTGGTCTTCATCCACCACAAAATGTGTACTTTAAGAGCTTCCAAACAGAGGCTGGTCTTCTTTAAACAATTCCAAGGACACCTGTGCTTCTCAGCGGAGCTTAGACGCAAAATCTATTAGATAGATGGGGCCTCGGTGATCAACCAGTGCCACTTGAAGGGGGATTTCAGAGTACTTTAGTATGTGAAGGAATGGAGAGATGCCTGTGTGGGTCTCAAGAAGTTCTGAACACTACCAAGGTCCTAATCTATCTAAGGACAAACAAGTGGAAAGTTCTGACTGGATAACAAAGAAACAAAACTTAACCTTGAAAAGATGCAATGAAACACTTTTCACAGGAAAATCTGAACATCTAGCCAGCCGATGCACCTGAACCCAGAGAGGAGCAATAGCATGTCCCCCTTTCTAAAGTTTCCTAAGCTGACTAGAAAAATACAGCTATACCATTTTTAAGTCTCCACACAACGAAGCCTTACATCAATATGCTACAGCTCTGTTTTGTCAGGCCTAAATAGCTTACCTGAGCCTGACAGAAGACTGGACAGATTCTTGTCTTTATTTTGGCCCCATGAATGATTCTTTTGGGGACCAGGACCCAATTGCACACAGAGAAGAAGTGAAATTAAAAAAAGAGAAAGTAAAAGACACTGTCCCCTTTATTACCCTACAATTAGCAGGAGAAGAAGATTGTGGAAATTCTGTTCAGCTATAGACACAATCAAACAAAATAGGCAGCAGGACACACAGGAAACCCAAACACTGCTCTACTGTACTGCAAACATACACACAGACAATGTATACAGTAGACATAAAATATGCAAAGCAGACAGACAGGTGAAAACACACAGAGTGTGTGTGTGTGTG